TTTTTAAAGTTATTTAAGACTAGAATAGGTAAATAAGTAATAATAATAATATAATTACAATTGTTCACAAAGCATGCACATGAGCAGCTTGTAGGTAATGTAATTTAATAGCAAAAAGTGAGCTGCATGTTCCCCAAGTGATTTACAACTTATAATGGCACGGATAGCAGTTAGACACGATTCAAAGAGCAATAAAACAATAAAATTTAATTAAAAATAGATGTATAAGGTTACGAACTTAGAGCTACTTGGGATAAACAAATGTAGTTTCAGGTTACAATTTGAAGTCATACTAGAAAGAAAAGAAGGTTAATTTAGGTTTATTTCAATTTTTTTAGGTGATTACGAGGTCTGTCGAATTGACCGATCCCATTTTGAGATTAGGGTAGAGAAAATAACTTTTAGGATTTAGTGAAAAAAAAAACGTTTGAAATGCATTTTGGGGGTTTTAGGGATTACACAAAGGAAATTTGAGATTTTGAGATGACAAAAAGTATTTTTAATTTTAACATGAAAATTACTTTTCACATGGACTATTCAAAACAAATACTTTATTTTATTTTATTAAAAGTATTTCACTAAGAAATATGACTGCCAAATTTTGTGAAGATATACCCAATATATAGAGAGTTAAGTATTACATTTATGTCAACTTTAAACTAGTACAGGTCATGTGACTCGGTCAAATTGACCGACACCGTGTTGGAAGAGTTAAACAGAAGCCTAGTATCTTTCATATAATAAATACTTCTTTTACAAGTGATAACACTTATATTAATTCCTAATTATGCAAAATTAGGTCTATTAGTAAACAATATATATAGTACCTTTAACTGAAGTTTATGGGAGTTTATGTCATGAACTCTCACAAATCGGTCCAATCCACAAGATGCAACAAGGGGTTTTACTGGGTGACAAGCAATACATCGAATACTCCCAGCAACACCTCTGTAGGCATGAGCCAGAGCTTTCTTCCTTAAGTCAATAAGAGCCATCCTTCCCCTAGTATTTCCTACAACCACATTACTGAAAAAGAAAGGTGACTTCTGAGTGATATTATTAATTTCCTTGAAAATTTCCATTCAAATGTTAAAATCAAAGAGAATGATACATCAGTTGAGTTTTTGGAAAAATTTAACAATTCATAAACTTAAAATAAAAATGAATAATATAGAAGAATGACCATTAAGAAAAATAACATCGTTTGTAAATTATGATAAGAGTCAAACAAATTATTTTTTCAATGTCACAAAACTATATACATTAACTCTTTCAGCACAGGCTCAGTCCCATAGACCGACCTTTTAACCATTTTGTTCTTGTTATAGTTTTCATGTTATAACTTTTAAATTAGTAAATGTATCTTCCCAAAATTTTGCAGATTATCAGTAAACATTACAAGGCTTTTGTAGGCAAAATATCAGATTTTTTTATTACGTTTCAATATTTGTTTAAGTAATGTTTTTCTCGTGTCTTTTTTTCTTTTCAACTATCCAACATGCAAAGTAATTTTTGATTTTAAGATTTAAAATACTCTTATGCATCAGATATTTTCAAATTACACATACAAAATCTATATAACCTCCAGATAATTATCAAATATTTTTTAAAAAAAACTTTATATTTTATCTGTTATTTTCATTATTGAATCTCTGTACAGGTTTGGTCTTTGATTCATGTCAATAGGGTTAACAGTACGGAAAATTACTATTACAGGAGACATGGAAGTTAGCATTCTTTACTGTTGGATGCCAGATAAACAATCAAGCACCACAATATCTTTAACGTCAAAAAAATTTGCTGTAGAGTGAAAAGCTTAATTTGAGCATGTGAAAATAAATACTAAAATTTGGCTACATAAAAACATGCAAATATTATCTAATACTATAAAACACAGTATGTATTTGTCTGTCTTTCAGTCATGTACTGATGTCATAGCAACTTATTACGTAATTTAAGTAGTTTTGCTTCCTGTCAATTAGAAGCAAGTAGTCTACAACTGATCGAAAATTAAAGATAGTTTTACGTATTTGCTTGTTTGATAATTTCCGGTATAAATTCTCTCCAAGGAACTTCAGCGATACAAGTCCTTTCTTGATTAAAACTAGTTTATTCTTTCTCGATACAAACTTTGTAATATACAGAACTTCCACAGTCAATACGTTTCTCGTCTCTTTGCTTAACAACTTTTATAATACATGCTATAAATCACAGTGATTCACAATCTCGATAACTTACCGTGAATACTGTTCGTTTTAACCATACATTTCCTTTCCGCTGGCTTTTCTCGCCAGACTTATATATTAAAAAAGAGGGCATCTTGAATGCACTAGAAAATTCATGATCATTCAAGAAATCTCACGTACGCTCCCAGTGCCAAACGCGCTGGCAGCGTCACGTGACTTCCACTGTCATTACAATATATTTTGACTAAAATATAAAAAAAATCTCACCTTTTCCACAATTACAAAACATACCTTTGCTAACTTATCGAGCTATGCGAGAAAGGACATAATCATACTTTAATCGACATTTTATACAACATATTAGAGATTTATCAAAGTTTTAAAAAAGGTCTAATGTTAGGTTATAGAATAATATTAGAAGATTATTTATTGATAGCATTAAGTGTGTTAAGGTTTAGCCCTAACTGAACTAAAGCAAAAAATCTACACAAGTTAAAATGTTAATTTATCTCTTTATCGAATATAGGCCATACTTAATAAAGGCTTAACTAATGTTATGACTACGACAAGTAGACTTATAGATTTCAGTGTCTGCAATTAGAATTCTTTTCTTATTACTCTAGAAGTCCTGTATTTAAAGAAGTACTTTTGCAATAAAGATACTTATTTGGCTGCAAGTGTTTTGTGGGTCGCTGCTAGTTAATCTGTAAAAGCTTCTAGTTATATATAAGCTTTAAAACAATAACATACTTTCTGGTCAGCTAGTAAATAAATCCTATATATAACACATTTTTATAACATTACACAATACATAATTATTACACACTGATTTGTCTGAAACTCATAGTCTTATAAATAAGTTACTAGCTTTACATTTTTAAATTCTTATTTATCTTTCATCATTTCTGTCTGAGAAAACTATTTTCAATTTTTGCTCTTTGTATCTATCTAATTTGTAGCTCCATAGTGTAGAGAGACCTAAACATTAATGATTGTTATCAAGTTAAAAGTTGGAATTCTATCATACTATAACAGCTTTTGTTTTACACTTCTTTCAAAGGCTGAAAGTAATACTTAGAAATGTTCTTGTTACAAGCTTTACATATGCCAGTATAAACAAGAAAAGGGTAAGACATTTAGATCTGTTATTACTTTGTTGTATTACATATATGTAACGTACTCTTTAACTTACTTTGCTGAATGAGCCACTGCTAAGGCAGTGATGGGATATTCATCAAATTCAACTGTTAAAACAGGACGTCTCTGTGGAGTTAAAGGATCATAAACATGAATCTGAAAAAAAAATTCATTTGAATTTAAAATACACAAGATTTTGTTAACTTTCTGGAAAAATTTATATACAAATAAAAATGAAAATATAATGAAAGAAACTGATTAAGTCAAAAATATAAGTATGTTTCTGCTATCTTTTTATTAAATATATGTAAAACTGAGTAATAATTAGTGTAAAATTTATTTCAAACTCTTTACCAAACACTAGTATTATTTTAAAAATTTCAAACATAGATCTCTAAAATTTCCATTATTAATTGGTACATGAATTAATATATTATTTTTTACAGCAAAGAGAGGCATGCTGGAATGTAGGAACCTTGACAGAAAGAAGTTTAGAGCTTGCAGATGTCCAGAAGGGGAGGAGAGTACAGATAACATGCATACAAGAGACAAGGTGGAAAGGAAGTAAGGCATGGGAAATTTGAGAGCATTAACAAACTACAAAGAACAAAAATTGGGTAACAGTTGCACTGAATGCAGAAATGAAAGAAAAAGTAGTGAAAGTGAAAAGATTGGGTGACAGAGTGGTGGTAGTGAAGCTAGAAACAGAATGTAATTTAGTATGTGCCTATACCCTGCAAGTGGGATGCAATGATAAGAAAAAAAAATGTTTAACGAGGGTCTGAACAACATGCTGTAGAGTATATCAAGAGAAGGGTTACTTGTAATGGTGGCTGATCTAAATTGAACAGAACAGAGGTAGCTATGAGAAACTGCATGAAGCACAAGCTGTGGACAAAGAAATAAGGAAGGAAGGCAAAGAATCCTGCTGATGGTTCAGGCACATGGCTTGAATATAGCCAATACATTTTTCCAGAAAAAAGAACACCACCTGATAACATATAGAAGTGAGAATATTAGGAGTCAATTACATTACCTATTAGTTAGAAGAGAGGAAGTGAAAATCTCACCTCACAGTATAAGCTTTTGGTGATGGATTATGAAATGAAAGGCACAGAAAGGACAGTGGTAAAATAGTTTACCCTGAAAGTAAGATGTAGAGGCTGAGAGAACCAGATAGATCAAACAAGTTATTTAACCAGATGGTGAAAGAATACAAGCAAATTCAATGAGATACAATTTAGAACAAATTACAGGAGGTTGTCAAAATGTCTGTTAGGCATGGCAACCAAAGTTATAGGAAAGGCCAAAAGAGGAAACTATATCCAGGGAGAGAGACATGGTGGTAGAATGGGGAAGTGCAGGCAAGCATAAAGGAAAAGAAAGTAAAGTTTAAGAGGTGGCAGCAAAAGAATGAAAGGGGGATCTGTGGGCATACACAGTAGTAAAGAAAGAGACAAAGAAGGCAGTGGTTACTGCCAAAAAGAGGTTATATGCAGAGTTGTATAAAACGTTGGAGGGAACAGAGGAATAGAAAACTGTGTGCAGACTAGCCAAAGCCAGGGAAAGGATAGAAAGGGATATATATAGGTGAAATTTATTAAGGGCCATAATGGCAAGGTGATTGCACGTGTGTCAGATATCAAACTGATAAATATAGCATACTTCAATATCTATTAAATGAAGAGAGTGATTGGGAGAAAGTATAAAATGCCAGGGAGTGGAGGAAGTAGAGTTGGAGAAGACAAAAAATGGGAAAACAGTAGGCCCAGATGATATACCTATTAAAGCATTTAAGAAACTATGGAAGTTAGGAAACCAGATGCCTGGAAGGAGAGTATCCTAGGGCTAATACTCGAAAGAAAGGACAATAAGCAAAACTACAACTATCAAGGCATAAAGTTGCTATGTCATAGAATGAAGCTTTGGGAGAGGGTTGTAGATATGAGATGGAGAACAGAGAAATAGGGACAGAACATTTTGGGTTTATGACTGACAGGCACCTGTAAGGTCAACAACAATTGTCATATTCTCATTGAGAGGTTGATACACAAGTTCAGGGAAAAAGAGAAAAGATTTGTACATGGTGTTCATTGACCTGGAAAAAGCTTATGACAGGGTGCCAAGAGAGTTGATATGGTGGTGCTCAGAAATAAGGAATGTACCAAAGTTGTAAATGAGACTGATCTAGGATATGTATGAAGTAGTGGATGCATTTGTAAGAAGTATGGTAGGAGACTCAGAGAGATTTCTAGTGACAATGGGAGTCCATCAAGGATCAGCATTGAGCCCTTTCCTTTTTATAATGGTGCCGGATAGAATATCTAGGAGTATACAAGGACAAGTACAATTGTGTATGTTATTTGGAACTGGAAAGATGGAAAGAATGCCTATAGAAATACAGCTTTAAAATATGTAGAACAGAGTACATGGTAGCAATATTCTGTGAAGAGGAAGTAACAAGGTGTTCCTCAATGGTGAAGAGATAAAGAAAGTGGAGGAATATATAAATATCTTGGATCAAATGTGCAGACAGATGAAGGAGTGGGTAAAGAGGTCAAGGAAAGATTAAACAAAGTATGGATGAAGTGAACTCAATGGAGTGATGTGTGACAGACAAATTCCAATAAACCTGAAAGGGAAGATTTATAAGGCAGTGATAAGATCAGTCATACTATATGGAGCTGAATTCTGGAGGAAAGAGGAGCAGATCATACTGTATGGAGCTGAATTATAGAGGAGAGAGGAGCAAATGATGAGTGTGGCAAAGATGTGGATGTTGAGGTAGATGATAGGGTTGTCAAAGAAAGACTACATCAGGAATGAGACAATTAGAGAAAGGGTGAAAGTAGTACAAATTATAGAGAATATGAGAAAAACTCACCTTAGATGGCTCAGTCATGTGGAAAGAAGAGAAGAGGAGTGTGTTGGTAAGAGTATGATAAATTTGATAGTGGAAAGACAAAGGGCAAGAGAAAGATCAAAGAAAAGATAGATAGATACAATTAGAGAGGATATGAGAAAATATGGTGTGAATGTAGTACTGGCACAGAACAGGAAGGAGTAGAGGGTAAGGACTAGAAAAGTAGACCCCAAGTAATTAGAACAAATGCTATGAAGAATAAGATGGAGGCATGCTTTAGCATTCTTGTTTATGCAATTAATGCAATAAAAAATGTTCCTCAAAACTATTAATTACTTATGTTATTTTAAGAAAACAATTGTAATGAAAAATATAAACTGCTTAAATGAAAATAATATTCGACACAAACTAGTCTTCCAAGTGATGTACATTGATATATGGACCAGCTTACCATTAAGTTGGCAGTAAAATCAAATTAGTGTATTTAATGTACCAACTAAAGTATGTAAAAAAAACAGATCCAAATCATGGCAGGATAAGCAATAAACTTAGGCCTACTTTGAGTTTAGTATTAACATTCTACATCCTGTTAATGATAAATTAAGCTATGTATGATCAACAGCTTGATGCTAGGGAATTGTTATGTTTTAATCTGTTAAATTGTGGCAATTGTTTTATTTCCAAATGAATCTGATAGAAAGAGTAAAAGCATTATTTCCCACATAGGGGCTAAAACAAAGACTGTAGCACTCACTAATTACAATCAAATATTTACGATAAGATTTATCATAATTATCAGCAGGCATGTAAATAATTTAAAAAAAAGGGAGAGTAGTTTTCCATAATAATCCTATGTGCATAAGTGGAGGTCAAAATGTGCATGTGACGACCTTTTATGGAGTGCCATTCAACATGCTACGACACATTTGATGTCAGAGTTATCAGCTATATATATTCACCCTATCTTGCTAATTTAGTGACAGTTTGTGGTAGAGGAATAAATACCAGATGAAATATGAAGGGACACAGCAAACTGTAGATATGCATTTTGCAGGTTCTACAAAATATAAAAATGCAATATGCAAACTATACAAGTATTTTTACTCTTTACGTGAACATCACATTGTGCTCTCACTTCTCAGAGTCTAAGTCAGATGATGTTTTCAATTCACAGACATATCTTCAGTACAAATATTTTTGTAACACATCTGATTTTTTATGTACAACAGACTTGTAGTAAACTTTACTAAAAGATTGCCATATTTTGTGCAGATATACATAGTAAATTCGTAATGAGGGACTGTGCAAATTATACCAGTAGAGAGCGTCAGTAGCGATGCAGTTCTTATTTAGTCAGATACCCAAATGTTTATATTCTTCATGGTCTTTGTCTCACCATATTATCATGCTTTAGGTTTGCTTCATAAATATAATAACTCAAAAATGCCTGAAACAACTTGTTGTGTGCCTGGATGTTCTGAGAGAGGCGGTCATTCATGACCTTGAAATCTAGAATTGTTTAGAAAGCAGTTTCATGTGTTGAGTTGGGGACCAGCGGAAACTGAAGAAAGGAGTTGTTGCTTGTCATGACCACTTCGTGCTAGACATCTATGTAACTGAAACTAGCTATGGTACATTTGTTAAATAAAAATTTTAAATAATTCTGTTTTTCATTTAGAAATTTGTCTAAAATTATTCCCATTTCATAACCTTTTTATGTTGAGTCAAGTTTTAAAATGTATTTTCAAAACACATTTCCCCCATCATGTCCTATTTAACTGAGTATAGTCTACAAAATTATTTTTATAGGCCTATGACTAGGCTCATGTAATGCATGATACTTGATAGAGTCTAATATTTCAATAATACTTACTCCATATGTTAAAATCTATAGTAGGCTTGGAAAATGATTGTCAGTAAATATTATTAAAGTAATATATATATATATATATTTTATTCTGTTGTTTGAACCTTCACCCCACAGAAGACAATTAAAACCAGCTGTCATTGCAAGTGTGTTAAGCTGGTCCAAGACAATCACACCTCAGTCCATGACAAGAACCGAGTGAGCATTGAAAAGGATAAAACGCTTCAACCAGCCAGTAGTTGACACACCTGAGGAAACTATACTACCCCTAGGCCTATAAAATGTCAGTTGCAGTGCCAAATACACATATTTAAATGTGAAAAAACTTAATCGTTATCATTATTTTCATTCAATAGCTACAATTATATCATTTTATTCAGCAAGTTAGAACAAGGTTCTTACCAACATATTGAAACTATGCTTGTTTCATGTAAAAAAAACAGTAGTCTGACACTGTATTATTGCTCATATTATTTTGTTTACTTGTGTATAAAATCGGCTTTTATGCTAGTAGTTTTAGCTCTATTGCATATAAAAGTCTGTCTTAATCATGCTAAGATTTCAATTTTCTGTCTTAATCATGCTAAAGTTTCAATTTTCACATTTCTTACTAATTACAGTGGAATTGGTAAAATAAATATCAAGAAGACAAGTGAAATTCATGTACCACTAAAACAGGTTTATTTACTGACCAAATGCTGCATTGCAAAGCATGCTGGGACTACATCAATGTTGGTGCCACTGTGCATTAGCAGTTTTGCACACGATCCCTCATTACATTCAACATTTTTTCTCCAATGGACCAACCTCGTGTACATTTAGTTAAGGAAATATGTTCACAAGTAACTGGGCCTAAGAATTACGATTTTGAAAGAGCATGCAAACTGGAATTACATAAGTAGTATCCCAGTGAAAACTAAAGCACATCAATAAAAACTTTACAGCTTTATTTGATGCTCCTTTATAATTAATATAATTACACTATTATTTTTCACTGGAAATAATGTTTGAGCCTGAATTATGTGAAAGTGTTAGCTGCTTAACATATATAAACAGATTTTGTACTAACATCTAGAGTTTACTCTATCATTTTGGATGTCAAATGCTTGCTTTAATCTTAACTGAAAAATTAACATATGTTTCCCAATATCACAAAGAAAGTTTTGGATCCATATATATAGCTTGCCAAAGGCAATGTTTACAGTCTTGATGCACATAAAACTTTACCGAATTTTGTACTGATATGGATTGTTGTTGACTGTTGGAAGGAAATGTTTGACATCTTATATGATGGCACTGAATGAAACAGAATGTTAAGCTATGTCATATGCAGAACCTCTGTATGTACAAACACTTTTCCTTCAAGCATTTGTAAACTTTTATCATGTGCTTGAACTAAAGATTAATAGAAAATTGCTTTAAGTATGTCAGGGAAGTTTTGTCTCACACTAAACACAACACTGAAACAAAAATATAAATGTATTAATTATTTAATACATTAATATTATCTATTTGTAATTATTTTCAAAAATATATCTTTATATGATTAAACAGTGCCCTTTTTTCTACCATAAACATACATCTATTTATTTTAATCTATCAACTTTTTACATCATGAGAAAGAGATTTTACTTCATAAAAAATATACATCATCTTGAAATATGCACAAATTGATTAACTTAGCATTATGAATATTTATTACACTGAAAATTGAACTTGTTTTGTTTTTTAGTTATAAAGTTTTACTAACAAGTTTTAACACACAACTATTTTTTAATGAAAAAAAAACTGCCAAAAATTTGATTAGTTTGATAAATTATACACTGAAGCCTATAGTTACGATACTTTCACTGATGGAAATACATAGATCACTTCTAATTGAGATCAGATCTTTTTATATGTAAGACAAGAATATCCTTTAAAAGACCACTCCCAAAACCAAAGCCTTATATGATAACAATTTTAGAACACAGAGTGCTTGTGTAGTACTCACTGCATGAGTTCCTGTTCCCACCACCACTTTTTCTGTACCAGGCAGAAACTGTATGTCTAACACCCACACGGGTATACGCAAATCCAAGAAATCAGGACGAACCTATAGAATCAAGGACCACATTCTTAATACTGCACTTTTAGTAATTATTCAATCTTATTTTAAAATACCTATTCAACCCATGGTACTATGAAAAATATAATATCATAAAATGTATCAACTTTAAAATACCTATTCAACCCTATTTTAAAATATACATTCAATTCAGTTATTTTAAGCTACTTAAAACAAAACTGTTTATAAATCTCCATAGTTATTTTTCAATTTTTATGTCTAAAACATAATATTATTAAAGCAAAATAAAATACACTGAGCTAAACCTTAACATGATCAGTTAACCACTTCGTACATAGCACCCAAGGTACTACGAAAAATATAATACAATACAATTTGCCAACTTTAAAATAATGTTTTCACAATGAAGAAGTTACTTCACAAAGTATTTAGAATTTTTCTGAATTATGCCATAACATCAATATTCTACACTTGCCTCAAAAAACACTGTCCTGTTGAAAGACTTTCACTGTTAATGGTAACCTCAATGTAATGTGACTTAAATTTCTAACATGAAAAGCTTGTATTTAAATACTATGCACAGACACCAATCAATCTTTATTTAATTTCTTCCATGACATTCATTTAGCTTTAAAGTTTTCATATTCCCTTTAAAAAATATTTTAAATTACGTAAGCACATTGTAACAAATTTATTATTATGTATTTATTTTTAATATAATGTTATTTGGATTGAATTTGTATTTAGAAATAGGCGTGACTTGTATTATCAGATATGTGTTGTGTATAATGAATTTATTATACATTTATTTTAATGTCAACGTTTGTTTTGAATAAGTTTATATTTGAGGGCGTGTCTAGCTCATCGTGTTAGTTATGTATGGCGAAATTCCCGCCAATTCTCCTTGATTGTAGAACATTCGTGAACACAAAAAATCAACTTCTGTAACCAGTATATCAGAAGTTTCTAGAAAAGGTAATTGGCTTATAAAAGCAACAGACAACAGAGAACAAGAGACAGGTCTACTACAAAAATTATAATAACCATGTAAGTTATAAGCTGTGATTTTGCTGACCCCTATCAACCAGAAAATATACAACATTTGACCAGGAGCAGTTATAAATTGCAAACATCAGTGAATTCCCATCAAACGTTAATATCTCTCCAAGAATATTACTAATTTTTCAACAGACATTAGTGATTTTATAAAAATATTATCTTACTTCAACGGTCCAACAATTCCGTGCCTGAAAATGTTGGTAATCCTGTGATTTACACAATGTATAATTTGCTCTTTCTTTTGGTTATAAACATCTCCAATAGAAATATCAGAGATTTATAGACATCTTAAAAGACAGAGAGAGAAATAGTAGGGCGTGTCACGTGGGTGTGACAAAAATAAAGATATTTCAGTAAAGCACAAAGATTGGACATTCAAATTTTGTAATCTAGATTTTCAATACCTTTAGTGAGTATATTTAATTCATGATACACTTTGAAATACATAAAAACAACAACTAAAAATGGGCAATCAGAGTTCAGATTGAGAATTTACTTTAATATTTCCTTTTGAAATTAAGAAATTAAAACTTACATAATATGAAATTCTGAGCTATAATCTATGTTTTCATGACAAGCTTACTACCAGAAATAAAGTACTTATAAGATTCCATGAAAACAAGCTTCAAACCTACAAAATTCTTGAAAAAACTTCTGTGAAGATTACAAAGAGACACAGAAGTTTAAACTGAGATCTCATACATAGCCTAGGTAATTTACTGGACAAGATATACATCTGATTAATACTTAACAATATTTAATAAAAAAAAAGGCTACTTATATACAGAAAAACGTATTTATATATATCTCATCATATTCCATGAAAAACATTTATTTTCCTATCATACTGCAGCATCATAATTCAAGTGAAGTATAAAACAATAAACCAAGCTTTAAAAACATATCACCAAACTAAGCATTTGTCATTTTGTTTCAATCTTTATGCAATTCTCTGCTGAACTGGAAGTCAAAGTGCTTATACTGTCAAAAAGAAAAAGAACTTTTATTATGTTCTTACATCGCTAGCATATGGCTTCTGAAAGTTCAGATATATGCAATTTACATAACATCTTCACAACCACAGTTGAGAAGCAGCAATTTTTAAAATTGATAAAACTACATTTGTATTCAAGTTATGAAAACAAATTAGTGCTATTTTGTTCAAAACTATTTCAACTTTCCTCCTAGGGGACTACAACTGCCATATCATGCTCAGAAAAAAATTCAGGAAATTCACAAATGAAGTTTTTATTTACAGTGTAATGAAATCAACCCAAAATCATAATTTGCATGTTTTTTTTAGTATGTGTATATATATATATATATATATATATATATATATATATATATATATATAC